ACGAGAGACGAGAGGGTTGTCACCTGCGTGGGCTGCAGCCTCGCGCTCCCGAAAGCCTGCACGAGCATCCTTTCCTGCGCGGCCGCCGCCGTATCGAAACAGGGCTGCCCTTGCACTGCCTCGAGCAATCGCCCGACGGCCTCGACTTGGTCGCGCAAGCGCTGGGCAGCCATGGCTATGCGGCCCCACCCACCCAAAAAAAAACGCGCGGGCTTGCGTATGCAAACGGCTTCGAATGATGGCGCAGCGGGGGCGGCATGGGCAGGGGCCTCATAGCGAATTCATCGCTTATAGCGAATTGATCGCTCAGATAATTGCACAGCGAATTGATCGCTCAGAGAACCACATAGCGAATTCATCGCTTATAGCGAATTGATCGCTCAGATAATTGCACAGCGAATTGATCGCTCAGAGAACCACATAGCGAATTTATCGCTCATACCCAGGAATGCGTTAGCGAATGCATCGCTGTCCTCCTCCTTCCCCCCTCCTTTCTCTCGCCGTCCTACTGGCTCACTACCGAACCACAGGGGGGGAGGGGAGGGGAGGGGCATGGAAATTGAAGAAGTTATGAAAGTTATGAAAGTTATAAGATGGTTATATGTCGATTATAAATTGTTGTGTAAGTATGGTTAGGGACACCGTGTAAGTATAGTTGCGGCTTCGGTAAGTACATTTGCATCTGAAACAGCTACATCTATAAGTGTGATAAGGCACTCTACTTTGCTAAGCCGAAGTCGCTACGCAGATTGGGTCGCCCGCGGCGGCCGCGGAGGCCTTGTCGGAGGGCCCGTCGGACAGGCAGCGCTGAGGTCTCCCCCCCCACGGGCCGACCCACAGCGTTGTCCGCGGCTGGCATCGGTGGACCTCTCCGCGGCAGGACGGCACTGTAGTGCTTGGGCAGTCGCTGGCTTCCACCGGCACTGGGAGTGGTGTGCCCGAAGGCCTTGCTCTGAGTGTTGCAGCCTTGTACAGCCTGCGTCTCGCGCATCGTCGCGTTCACCTCGGGCCTATTCGTCGCAGGCGCCGGGCTCGATGCGATTGGTGCCGCTGGCCCCCCCCAGCTGAGCGGTGGAGTCTGAGGGCTGCGCGCTGAGTGGTTCAGCCTTCCGCGCTCGCTTTGCCTCTTGTTTTCCACCGCCGGCAGCCCGGTCTCCCGGGCTCGTGTCTCTTAGCTTGCCGAGCTGGCTGCTTGGAGTTTAGCGCCGCACCGGCGACTCACTCCGTTGCACTCGCACCCGCGGCCGCTTGTTTACTTTGGTTTACAGTGCGGCGCCTAGGTGCGTCTGCTGGTGAATGCAGAGCATCTGGTTCAGTGCATGTGCAACTGCGCGCTTGTTGTGCAGCGTTTCGGCACGGCTTGCCAACCGTGGCGGTGCGCTCGCAAATCGCCCCCCTCCCCCCCCCCTTTTTTTTTTCCCCCCCCCCCCCCCCCCCCCCCCCCCCCCCCCCCCCCCCCCCACGCATTGCGCCGCCTGTCCCGGACTTCGCCCCTCGCCGCCAAGACCGCTGTCGCGCGGCAGACCAGACCAAAAACAATATCATTTGCGAAGGCCTTGCGGCCAGCGCCGCGACCATGAAGGAGGACGACGACGACGACAACGGCTCGCGGCGACGGCGACGGGACGACGACGCGAACGTGGCCCAGAGCCCTCAGGGCTGCTCTTTGGTTATCTCGGGGGGCTCTTGGGGGCCTCTGGGGGGGAATGTTGGGGCCTCTAGGGGGCTTCCTGGGGACCTCCTGTGGGCTTTTGGGAGCCTCTCGAGAACTTCTTGGGGCTTCCTGGGCCCCCTCTCGGGGCCGAGGGCTCGAAATGTTTGCTCGGATCCCCAGTCTGGGCACTCTCTTGGAGCCGTCCTGGAGGCCTCTTGGGCCGTCTTGGAGGCGTTTTGATTTTTTTTGGTCCTCTTGAGCTGCTTCGGGGCCCTCTGGGAGTCCACTTGGGCCCGTCTTTGGGCGATCTTGGGGGCCTCCTGCGTCGATTTGGAGCGGCGGGAAGTAGAGAAGGCGAGAACGTCCAGATATTAGACAAATCCTGGCGAAGGACCCTGCCATATGCAGTTGTGAGTACCGTCGTTGCGGGAATCGTGATCTCCTCATGGGGCCACAGCATGCGAAGGGTGTGCCGATGTTGGGCGGGGCCGCAATGTGGGCGTTGCCGCTGGTGGTTTAGGCGTAACGCACTACGGGGTCAGCGTAAGGGGTGCCCCGCCATGGGGCGGGACCGCTACCAGGGCCTTCAGTGGAGCTCCCTATGGGACCACGAAGCGCTGTATTGGGCGGGGGTGACGCATGCGAGTGCAGTCACTGAGGCCTTCGGTGGAGCTCCCCATATGGGGCCACGAAGCGCTGTGCTGCGAGGGGGAACGCGTGCGAACACCGCCACTGGGACCTTCGAAGGAGCTCCCTATGTAGCCATGATGCTGGGCGGGAGAAGCGCATGCGAACACTGCCACTGGGGCCTTCGGTGGAGCTCCCTATGGGGCCACGAAGGTTTGCATTGGGTGGGGGTATCGCATGCGAGCGCAGCCACTGAGGCCTTCGGTGGAGCTCCCTATGGAGCCACGAAGCGCTGTGCTGGGGGGGGGGGGGGTGACGCATGTGAGCGGGCCACTTGGGCCTTCGGTGGAGCTCCCCTATGGGGCCACGAAGCGCTGTACTTGGTGGCGGTGCGCATGCTGGCGGTGCCATGGGAACCTTCGGTGGGGCTCCCTATCGGGGCCACGAAGCGCTGCAATGGCTGGGTGTGAGCATGCGGGCGGCAGCACTGGGGCCTTCGGTGGGGCTCCCTATGTGGCCACGAAACGTGTGAGGGGTGTGCCGAATTGGGTGTGCGGGACGCATGCGGGCGGCAGCACTGGGGCCTTCGGCGGAGCTCCCTATGGGGCTATGAAACGCTGTACTGTGAGGAGGTGACGCAGTGGCAGTGCCACTGAGGCTTTCGGTGGAGCTCCCTATGGGCCACGAAGGCGCTTGCTGGGTGGGGTGCCGCTTGCGGGCTGTTGCTGTGACACTACGGCCTTCGGTGGAGCTCCATATGGGGCACGAAGGCTGTACTGGGTGGGGTGATGCATGCGGGCGGTGCCACGGGGACCTTCGTTGGAGCTTCCCTATGGAGCATACGAAGCGTCTGTGCTGAGCTGGTTGTGACGAACGCGGGCGGTGCCACTAGGGCCTTCCGTCGGGGGGACGATGCGGGCAGTGACCATTGGGCCTTCGTGGGACACTCCCCATGGGGCCACGAAGGAGCTGTTAACTGGGATGGGGGTGGATCACGGATGCTGAGCTGATGATGATGGAGGGGGAGGAGGAGGGGGAGGAGGAAGGAGTGAGGGACGCGGGGCGCTGTCTCTTCAAAACGAGTACCTAACACCACATGATGATGGGAACAAATGGATACTCAATGAAGTTGGTCTCTTGGGGTCCTCTCGGGAGTGCTCTTGAACGCTTCTTGGAGCGTCCTGGAGGCCTCCTGGGCAGTCTGGAAGACGTGTAGGCGTTTTGGACCGATCGTTTGGCGATTGGGGGTTCTCTTGGACCGTCTCGTGGGCCTCTTGGAGCATTCTTGGCCTGTCTTGGTGCTTTCTGAGGCCCAGGGATCCCTGGGGGGGATGCGTATCCGACACCCCCCCTTCCCATGACCTCCCCCCTACCCCCCCCAGGACCGCCCCCCTGACGGGAGGGGGGAGGGATCGCAAGGAAGGGGCTGCTTTCCCACTCGATTACGACATTGGCAAGATTTTTCTCTCGCTGACAAGCTTGAGGACGAGGGTGCAGGAAAAGGGGGCGACGGAGCCGAAGACTGACGGAGACGACGACTCGAACAGACAAGCCCCCCACACACACGCCGACAGGGTTCTTTCTGTGTCCCTGGGCCCCCTCGACGTTGCCCTCGAGGTTGCCCTCGAAGGACCGAGGCGTTGCCCTTCCCTCCTTGCTGGAACGCTGGCGGAAGAGGGACGAGGCGGGCCGCCTCGTTCGGGTTGACCCAAAGGGAGGCCCAGCGACACGGGGGTGGTGCAATAGATTTGGTGCAATGGATATGCGGGGTTGCAGTACATTTGGGGCGTGCAATACATTTCGGGGCGCAAATGTATTACTGGATTTTCGAGTGCAAACGCATCACTTGCAATACAACGAAATACAATTCTCCAGCGCAATACATTTGCAATACATTTGCCCCAAATCTATTGCACAACCCCCTTTCAGCTGGACCCCCTTTTGGGTCACCCGAAACTCGTCCCGGCGGAAAGCTGGGGGTCGCCGGCGGATGCAAGTACCGTTCTTCCACGAGGTGCGGACTTTTGGGGGGATCGGGGCTTCCAGAACGGTCTACTAGACGTGAGAGTGATCTTTCGCCAGAGTGGTTCGTTGGTGCTGGCCCAGCGGGGTCTCCCGATCGCTGAACGCGAAGCGGTGGCAGCGTCCTGCGCGCCTAGGTTTGGCCTCCCCATGGGCCCCACGGCCCCCAAAAGTCCCGCACCAAAGGTAACTCTTACATAGGGTCGCCTTTGCGCGATGCCGAGAGGTGCATACCTTTTTGGGGGAGCTGGGTCTCTCGAACGTGCCATCCGCCGTCGCCGAAAGTGGTGGGGCAGCATAGGACCATCTCAGAGGGGGGGATACCTCGGCCTGGAGTCGGCGATGCATCGCCGATAGATCGGCGATAGGCCTCCGGTTGCGAATCCGCGCGTTTCTGGGCGGGGAGGGACATCAGGCCAGCATCGGCGATGACTGGCTGATGGGAGGTCGATGCGTCCCCCCTCTGAGCCCTACCCTTCCCTCCTAACCCAAACCCCCGACGTCATGATTTCTTCTTGACGAGGTCTCGACCCAGTCCCCAGGACTGGTCTTTCATCCCGAGTCGTGTTTTACAGTCCTGGGCCCGGCGAGGGCCCCAGAGGCCGAAAATGACCACAAAAGGCTTCATTCATTTTCCATGATTCGAGGGGGCCTGTGCTCTGAGCTTCCCCCCCCCTGCCTAGCATTGTTCCCACGAGAGGTGCCTGGCGCAGTGTGCGGCGCTCGGCACTGAGGCGCAGAAGCACGTCGATCGGCTGGGGGAGCAGGCGGCCGCGCGCCGCCAGGGCTCGACCTGGAGGCTGCCAAAGGAGGTCGCGCGGGGGAGCGCAGCGCGCCGTCAACATGGGGACGAGCTCGGCCCTCAGCAGGGGCCTCGGCATCCTTTTCCTGAGGTAATTTAACCCCAGTGGCGCTCGTGATGTGGGAATCAGGACACAAGGTTTTTGGCCGTTCCAGCTTCCAGGGACCGTCACAGGGCCCCTGGACAGTCAACAAGTATCCTGGCGAAGGACCCAACAAGGACCCAACTAGATGCAGTTATGCAGTTATGAGTACCGTCACCGCGGGTGTCGCCTTCGGGGGATCTACTCATGGGGCCATGGAGCATGCGAAGGGTGTGCCGATGTTGGGCGGGGCCGCCATGTGGGCGCTGCCACTGGCGGAACGCATTACGTGGACGCGAATGGTGTGAGGGGTGCGCCGCACTAGGGCGGGGCCTCCACTGGGGCCTTCGGGGGAGCTCCTTATGGGACAAAGAAGCGCCGTACTGAGTGAGGGAAACGCATGCGAGTACAGCGGCCGTCGGTGGAACTCCCCATGGGGCCACGAAGCGCTGTGCTGGGTGGGGGGGACAGCACGCGAGCGGTGCCACTGTGGCCTTCGGTGGAGCTTCCTGTCGGGCCATGAAGCCTTGTTCTGGGAAGGGGACACGCATGCGAACACCGACACTGGAGCCTTCGGTCAAGCTCCCTATGGGGCCACGAAGCGCTGTACTGTGTGGGAGAACCGCATGCACGTGCAGCCACTGGGGCCTTCGGTGGAGCTCCCTGTAGGGCCATGGAACTCTGTATTGGGCGGGGGTGACGCAACCGGGCGGTGCCACTGGTGGCCTCGGTGGAGCTGCCTATGGGACTACGAAGCGCTATGCTGGGTGAGAGTGGCGAACGCGGGCGGTGCCATTGGGGCGGTCTGGTGGAACGAGCTCTTCCCTATGGGGCCACGAAGCGCCTTACTGGGTGGGGGCGCACGCGGGCGGTGCCACTGGGGCCTCTTTTTAGTTGTGGGCCAGGCTCGCGCGGCACGAGTTCAGGTTCGAGCGGCCGCACAGTGGCGGTCGCCGAGGGCGCAGGCGGCAGGCGAAAGCTTTAAAAGCGGGGCGCCGAATGGCAAAGGAACGAGCGAGCCAGGGGGCCAACGCGCCGCAACCCGAGCAGAGCCCCCACCTCGCCCTGGAAACCACGCGCGGTCCAGCTTCCGGCGCCAGCTGGAGCCCGTCGTGCTGGTTGGTCAGGCTCTCACGCCTCCGCAGTGTAAGGGGGAATCGAAAAGACAGAGTTTCATGACAGGTCTGCGGCGTCACCTGGGACAACGCAGCCCGCGCCATCCCCCAGGCCGTGCCTCCGTCAAGCCGCGGGAATACCACCGAAGCCACTCCTTGGGAGCGGAGGTGTGCGGCGCCACCCGAGACAGCACAGCACGCGCTATCAGCCAGGCCGCGCCCCCCGCAAAAGCGGGAAGACAACCGAAGCCATTCTTTCGAAGAAAGCCCGCCTGCGAGGACGGGGAAGAAACGGCGTGGTTTTTGGAACCAGCCACACTCAAGCCAGACCAGCGATGTTCAGAAGCTTAGATGACGCGATAAGAAGACAACAAACTGCACAGCACGCTGATCAATGACTACAATCAACGGTACTACGTAGGAGAAGGCGGCAATCCACATGCGTTCGCCGCGATCGGTCAGCCGAAGCGCTGGCAATACCCTCGGGGTACGCCAACGGCAGTTCAGGGACGCCGCAAGGCGAACCCTCGAGGATCGACCGCTTCAGCCGAGCCCTGCATTGCCATCCAACGGAGCTAGCGTGTAGAGCCATCGGGACGACCGAGCAGAGTTGCCGAACCTGCTCGTAGCACAGCTGGGCGTGCGAGAGGCGGTCGAGGGCCGCCGAACGCCACGCTAACCCGCCGGGAGTGAGAGGGACCACAGCGTTCGCCGCCATGTGCCGCTGGAGCACGCGCAACCGCCTGTGACTGCCGCTGCCCAGGACCAGATCAGTGGAGTCGGGGACGATGTCGAAGAAGACAGGCGGCCCGAGCTCACGCTCGTGGTTCAACGATCCGAGGGTGGGGAGGAGGGGCGGCGTCGGGCTCGGCGCCAGGTTCGGCGTCCAGCACCGAGCATTCGCTCTTGCTGGTTAACTGATTGACAGGCGGACCATCGCCGTGGGCGGGAAGGGAGAGGCCCCTCCCCGCCAGCTCCAGATCAGATGTCCACCAGGTGGGGCCGTGCCCAAGGGGGAGATCAGAATGAGGCCCCCCGCCTCGGATGCGCTCGGCCAGGGTGAACCTGGCTCCAGCGGGCGCCACTGCGCGCGCCGCCGCCCCGCCGCCGTTCAGTCGCGAGGAGCCGCCTCGGCTGCCGCGCGAAACGAGGGCCGGCGGCGGGGCGGCCGAGGCGGCGCGAGAACAGCCCGCCGCGCGCTGCGGCGGCGGGCCGGCGCCCGGGCCGCCCGCCGCGGCCGGTCGAGCGAGGTCTGCCGCGTCGCAGCGATGCTCGCGGCCCAGCCTGCGGCGCAATCGAGCCCCGCGTCGCGCTGAGAGCGAAGCGAGGGCGGCGGGGCCAACGCTCTTCAGCGCCCGCCTCCGCCTGACTGCTCGCCGCTCCTGCGCGCGCGCGGGCGCGGCAGCGGCTGCGCTCGCACCTGCGTCCGCCGCGGCGCCTGGCGCGCCAGCGGGCGGCGTGCCCGGGGGCGGCGTCCTGGGTGGAGCTGTCGGCTGCCGCCAGCGTCGCGTCGCCGCGCCGCGCGCCGCCGGCGCCTCCGACGCGCGGCGCGGGGGGGGGGGGGGGCGTCGAAGGCGGAGGGCCGCGCGCGCTGCGGGCCCGCGAGCACATCTAAGATCGCGGCGACTGCCATCGCCAGCCGCGCGTGACTGGGGCCTTCGGCGGAGCTGCCTATGCGCTGCATGGGGCGGGGGGAAAGCATGCGGGCGGTGCCTCTGGGGCCTTCGGTGGAGCCCCCGATGGAGCCATGAAGCGCTGTGCTGTGCGGGGGGAACACATGCGAACGCCCGCGCTGGGGTCTTCGGCGGAGCCCCCTTACGGGGCCACGAAGCGCTGCGCTGCGCGGGGGTGCAGGCGGTGCCACTGGGGCCTTCGGTAGAGCTCCATATGGGGCCACGAAGCGCTGTGTTGGGCGGGGGTGGCGCATGCGGGCGGCGCCGCCGGTGCTGGCGGAGCTCCCTATGGGGCCGCGAAGCGCTGCACTGGCGGGGGGTGGCGCATGCGGGCGGCGTGCCACTGGGGCCTCCGGTGGATTTCCGTATGGGGCAGTGCTGGGTGGGGGTGACGCACGCGGGCGGTGCCGCTGGGGCCTTCGGCGGGGTTCCTCATGGGGCCGCGAAGCGCTGTGCTGGGTGGGGGTGGATGATGATGCCGATGCTGATGCTGATGGAGGAGTGGGGAGGTGGGGGAGGAGGAAGGAGTGGGGGGCGCGGGGCGTTGCCCCTTCAAGGCGCGGACCCAGCGCCACAGGATGGTTGGGAACAGCGACGTTTCCAGGTCGACGTTGTCCCCCTAGACTTCCGACGCGCGCGCCCTCGCGGTCCAAATGAACCCCCCCCCGCTTTATCCCTTGAACCTCCTCTGGTCTTCTTTCCAGCCGAATGGCAGGCGGCGGAATCGCAATCGCGTGGAAGTGTATTTGCCAGACGGTGCCATCCCAGAAGCGCTCGCGAAGTTGATGTACAGCACAGCGATTGTTCGCGTTTTCTGTGGCCTATCCTGGAAGATAATCAACAGAGGCCGATGGTTGGATAATGATGAGGCTGTATCGTCGGTGCTTGCGCTGGAACTGTGTCACGGTCTTCTGACCAACGCTTTCCACCGCATGATCCGCGAGTGCTTTCCCAGGGAGGCCCACTTGATCCGAGAAGATGTCGATCGGATCGTGCCCATGCCTGGTTTACTTGCGATTGAGGGCGACGCTGGAGCATCACCAGACGACGCAGATGGCGACCTTGGCGCAGGATATGCTGGCGAAGAAGGTGCAGAGGGTGACGCACAGGGCCAGGCTCTCCAACAAGATGGTGCTGAAGCTCAAGATTGGGCCAAGCGCAACATGAAGTACAGATCTTACACACTCAGCGCGTTGGGACTTCGGCCTTTGAAGTCATGGGTGGTTCTACGTATTGCAATGGAACCTGGGATGCGGATGCGGAGGCGCGCGGTGGATGCGTCGTCGGAGGATTGGGAGTTGAAGCAGCAAGCAGTAGCAGCGAAGTCGAGGTTATCGAATTCACAAGCCGAAGTTCTGGGGGATCACCGCCTGCTTGCTCTATCTCGTGGGGGCATGGAGCGCGAGTACTTCGGCCAGTTGCAATGCGTCTTCAACTCGCCAGTTCTCTGGCAGCTCATCCCTGACATAGACATGATCAGAGCGATGCTGGTTCGATGCTTCGTTATGCTATCACGACAAGGTGCAATCGTCGAGAAGATTATCCACTCACCTCATCGGGCACCGCCGTTCTTGACATTCAGATCGGTGATGGAGCCGCAGCTTCGGGGTGCCATCATGGACATGGACAGTCACCGATTGGACCCATGGACGCGATGGCTCGTGAAGGAGCACGACCTGAGGCGTCCTGATACAAGGGAAATGTTGCTATTCCTTTTCCATATGGCCCACTACGGCAACGTCGCGATTGAAAAGAACCAGTTTTTGGATTCGGAGAGTGTTGTCGGCTAGGTCATGCGAAACCCACCCAATGTCCTTTCACGAGGCGAATGCTCTCTGGGTTATGAATCATTTACGACGAGAACTGGAAGCACATGACAGAGCACGCCAATCCACTACCTACACCGGGCAAGGTGGAGCGGCATCTGACCTCGACGGCGCAGCGGAGGCTGGCCGACGTTAGATACAGCGTGGCGGCGGTGGAGCGTGGCGAGCTTTTTGTTCCGAGTGCATGAGGGCTGGGGAGTTCGACTTCACCGCGATCGCGGCGAAGTACACGCCTGAGGTAAAGGGACGGCTGCGAGAGTCAGGAAAGGAGGCTGCTCAAGCCCACAGAGAAGGGGCGCCTCGATCGCTCGGTC